CTTACTTTCAGGGTAGGCCTTACTTTTGGGGAAACAGGGTAACCATTGGTAAAACAAATCCCACATTAAAAATTATCCTGTTTCTTCCTTCTCTTTTATTCTGAATGTTAATCTATCCATCTCTGCACAATCTATTTTTTTTAATTACACTTTCATCTATAGGGATCTCTTCATTTTTCCATTATTGTGCAAAAGCAATTCTCGCTGCTGTTAACACATGTAAAATTAAGTATGTTTATCTTGTCTTTATCTTGCTTTTCTGATAAAATACCAATAATTTCTCTCTGGTATGATTTCAACTGCCACCTCATTCCTCAGGAGAGAAAGAAGAAAACAGGAAAAAAAAGAGAGAGAGAATCCTGATGTCTGAAAACTAATATTTCTCAATGTTGGCAACTTTTGAGATGTATGGACTTCAACTCCCAGCATCCCTTAGCCATGCATCTGCAGTCCACATACCCTAAAGTTGTCCAGGTTGAAAAATACTGGTCTAAACAGACTAGTTTTATAATCTGGGAAAATCTGTCCCTTAAAATACATCCTTCCGTTTCCTAAAATCCAGCCGGATCCTAAAAGACAGATGTGATGTGAGGATTGCTGAGTGCCATCAAGACCTCACTGTGGAAACACTGCAATATTTTGAAGTTGTGGTGAATTCAAAGCCATTCCTTGCAACTAAACAAAGAACAGTCACAGCTGCCAGCTTTGGAAGAAAAGAAAAAAGCCCTATTTCAAACAGACTGAAAAGATCCACTGAGAACTTCCTCGGGCCATTTTTTAACAAGTCAAGATTATTCTGTTCTTCGCTCTGTTAATGTTAACTCAGCAAAGCCTGTGTGTCTCTTTCAAAGTCACAGTTTTAAGCTGGTGGCCAACTGCATTGCACATCCTTTTACCAAAAAAATAAAGGACCCACCCACTGTTATCCAGCAAATCTCCTTCAGTCCCCATTTATTACTTGACTCAGGATCAACTGGAAACTAAGCAAAATGGGAAGGTCAGAGAAGAATATTTGCAAAAATGAAAGGGAGGGAGGAAAGGAGAGTTTTCGGATCATTCTTCAAACATCTGCAAAGCCAGCTCCTTCTCAGAAATATTTTAATTTCCTCTGTTCATGGCGACCTTTTTAACCTACTTAAAGTAGAAAGGCACCTTTCCAAGTCGATCTTTACGTTCAAGAGCCAATCCTACGTTATTTGCAGGGGTCTCTTTATGGGCAAACTCTTCCTTACAGCTGTAACCTCCTACAGACACTCAGCTCTGTGAGGTTGGTTGGGCATGTATGGGTAGAGAGCAAAGACAAGCCCACCCTAAAAAAGCCAGTTCTTTTAAAGATCCGCTGAACTTGCAGGGGTTTACTCCAGAGTAGATAAAACTCACAACATGGAGCTGCTAAAGAAGCTGATTTAAAACAAAAACCAAGCAGAAAAACCCTTTTACATGTCTGTCACCTTTAAAAAAAGGACCGAAGGGGAAAAAAAAATACTAATCTTTGCATTTAGGAAGCCTTTTTTTTTTTTTGACATCAAAGCAACAAACAATAAAAGGATGAAGAAAGAACCAGGAGACGGTTTTATAAGGTGTCATAAATTCCCACCCATTTATCTCCCCCACCCCAAGTTCTCCACCGTGTCATTTTCTCTCCCCCTTTGCCACCCACTCATCTCCCCACCCCAGCAACGCCCAATCGAAAACCGTCAACCGTTCCTCCAGGGGCCCCAGAGGTTCCCACCCCAACATCTGTAAAGAGAAGAGAAAGCGGGAGGGAGATGCGTTTTCTGCAGACAAGTTGCTCTCTGTAGGGGATGCATTTGGAAGGAAGGGAGGAAGGAAAGGAGGGAGGGAAGGAAGGAGAGGAAAGAGGAAGGAAGGGAGAAGAAGAGAGGGAGGACAGGAGGGAGGAAAAGAAGAGGAAAGAGGAAGGAAGGAGGTAGGGAGAAAGAGTAGCAAGGAAGGAAGGAGGAAGGAAGGGAGAAGAAGAAAGGGAGGGAGGAAAGGAAGGAAAGAGGAAGGGAGGGAAGGAGGGAAGGGAGGAGAGGAAAGAGGAAGGGAGGAAGGAAAGGAGGGAGGGGGAGGGAGGGAAGGAAGGAGAGGAAAGAGGAAGGGAGGGAGGAAGAGAGAAGAAGAGAGGGAGGAAAGGAGGGAGGGAAAGAGGGGAAAGAGGAAGGGAGAAAGAGTAGGAAGGAAGGAAGACAGGGAGGAAGGAAGGGAGAAGAAGAAAGGGAGGGAGGAAGGGAGGAAAGGAAGGAAGGAAGGAAGGAAGGAAGGAAGGAAGGAAGGAAGGAAGGAAGGAAGGAAGGAAGGAAAGAAAGAAAGAAAGAAAGAAAGAAGATACCTAGATCCTTGGATAAACTCCCAGACTGAGAAGCTCAGAAAGGGGCACTGCTCTCAAATCCTAAGAAAGGCCAGGGAGGCCAATCCCAAATAACCCTAGCAATTTTCCAACTTCGGGGCGATGCCGCGTCTCCTTTCTTCCTCCCCCCATCACCCCCCCCCCCAAAAAAAGGAGAGAAACCCACAGGAGACAAAAGCGTCCCCTGTTGCGACGCCAAAGCAGCAGCTTAGGCTCCTTCGCGGCTCAAGCTGATTTTTTAAATTTTTAAAAAAACAAAACCCCAGAAAGACGAGCCAGCAAAGGCAGAGCGCAGTATATAAAGTATATAAATATAAATATATATAGAGAAAGCAAAGCGATGCGACTCACCTGGTTGGGGGACTGCCGCTCCCTCTGCTCCTTTTGCCAAAGAATAGGAAAACGGAGAGGGAGGGTGGGGGGGGAGCCAGCTTTGAAAGCAAAGTCACTGGGACATTTGGGTTTGCAAAAAGCTTGCAGCTTCCTTGAAGGATGCAAAATCTGGATTGGAAATTGGGGCTTTTTTTTTTGCTCCTTTTTTTTTTATCTCTGCCCCTGCCCACCCACCCCCCTTTCTTTTTCCCCTCCCCACAACTCACCCACTCCCGCCCCCTTTCGCTAGGGAGTTCGTCCCTGCCCTGCAAGCAGCAGGAGCCGGGGAGAAGGCGGCCCCGGGCTGGGCTATCTATATACGGCACAATGAATTGCAGCGCAAAAGGAAGAGAGCTCCGCCCTCTTCGCCCGCTTTGCCATTACATCATCCTTCTGAACGTTCGGAGGAGGGGGTGGGAAGAGAAAGGCGAGATCGGGGGGGCTTTTCATTGGCTGCCTTTCGGGCAGCCGCGCGGCGTTGTGGGAAAGGGAGTTCCCAGGCTCGGCCCGAAAGGCAAGCCGATTAAGCGTTCCTTGAGCGCAGCGTGAACTACAGCGCCCGTCAAGCTCCGCGCCGCGCAGCCGCAAAGTGGGGGAAGGGAGGGAGAAATTCAACCACAGAGACGTCCGACGGGGAGAGAGAGGCTTCTTGCTCCGAGAAGGCGAGCCCGCTCGCCGAGCGGCCATATTAGCCCGAGTCGTGGCGGAGGGCGGCGGTACGTTAAGTCAACTTCGCGGGTTGGGGAAAAAAAAAAGCGGCGGAGGAGAGGCCGTCGGGAGCCGCGCTTCGTAGGTCGGTGTAAGAAGGAAAAGGGGGTGGGTCGTAATAACGGGCTTTTCCCCCCCCCCAAGGAGGAGGGTGGGAGGGAAAGCTCTCTTGGCCTCCCGGCGGCGGGTCCAAGGGCCAAAACTGTTCAGTCGCGTTTCGTAATAGCTGCTCTCTGCACCCCCCCTCCCCTTTGCAAAAAGAGGCGCGCGCGCGGGGTTGGGGAAAGGGCTGGCGCGTTGCTATGACAGCCTGCAGCGGGACCCGGATGTGGGTCTCCCCTGCAAGCTCGTTCTTTTTTTTTAAGAGAAATTCCCCGCGTAGCTATTGGTCGAACGTGTAAGCCTGGCGGTTTCCGCTCGCGCTTTGCAGTTCGAAAGGTTGCGCGTTCGAGTCCCGGCGCTTGACAAGCTCCTCACAAGGCTTCTCTCTTAAGGAAAGGAGCTGTGGATGATGGGATCCGGAGCACCGCTTCTCTAGCGGTTGACATGCCTAAAAGCGAGGGCAGGGTGGAGTGGAATAACTTTTTCCTATTTCTGAGCCTACCTCTCTGGGTGGTTGTGATAAAAGAGCTTGCTGCGAAAAAGGTGAGGGGGCACTTCAAAGAATAACAATTCAAAAATATTTATTTTTGACGGCTCATCTTGCAGCTGCAATTCATAGTATGCAGGTAGTGTCCTCGGTTTAGTGACCGAAGTTACAGTGGAGCTGAAAAAAAGAAACCTGTGACTGTATTTCACACTTAATGACCGTTGCAACATCATATGATGAAAATCAGGACAACTTGACAATTGGTTCATATTTAGGACGATCGCCATATCCCAGGGATCACATATGATCCCCTTTTTGTGACCTTCTGGCAAGCAACATCAATGGGGAGGCCAGATTTACTTAACAACCGCATGGCTCACTTAATGACTGCGGTGATTCAGTTAACCACTGTGGGGGGAGTCGTAAAGTGGGACAAAACTCATTTAACAACTGTCTCGATGTTGTTAAAACTGCAGGGATTCACTTAATATGGCAAGAAGGCCACGTAAAGTGAGACAAAACTCACTGTCTCGCTTATCCATATAAATTTTGGGCTCGTTTGTTGGTCATAAGTCAAGGACTTACAGTAAAGCTCAACAATAACGATATTAATAGCAACCAGGGTAATCTAATCCAGTTTTATCATATCCCCATATAGAAAAAAAATCATTGATGGGCTCCTGGGGGAACATGCAGGTTTCTGTGGCTTTATTTTGCATTTATTTTATTTGTAATCAATTTATAAATAAAGTGATTCAATTTATACAGCCACTTCTCTCAACCAGACCTGGGAAATGCCAGCAAGACCCAAACTGTCCTCAATAACTTTTTAAATTAACTATCATGAGAAGGTCCCACAAAAAAGCATTGCATTTATTCAAGGCCAAGCTCGGAATGAATAAGAAAAGCAGCAAGACTAGCGAAATGCTTTGGATTTGGCAGGGATTAAAATAAATCAAGATGGATTTTTAATTGTCGAGGAAGATAGTGAGCGGAAAGTTAGGAGCTCAATCTGTGTTTCCTGAATGAAATTCTTATAAAACTTCACGAGGTTTTTTCACTTGCATACAGGATTATGATCTTATTATGGGCACGAGGTACTGGTAATCCTTGACATATGATCTATTGCATAGTGACAGTTCGAAGTTACAGTGGATCTCTTCAGAAGTACTTCCAACCCGGTTCTGACAACCAGACTCCCACCTGTGGTCATATGAACAGATAGTTGGGCATTTGGCAATTGGCCTGCATTTATGGCCATTTAAAGGGTTTTTTGTGTGTGTGATCACCTGATTGTGTTTCACATTATGATCGTTTTGCCAAAAAACAGCATTTATTTCCAGCTTTCAACAAAACTAGCCCATAGCGGACCATTGGTTCGCTTAATATCCACGGTGTTTGCTTTACAACTGCTGCAAAAAAATGTGGTAAAATGAGATTGGTAGGTGGGCGTTCTGACCCAGGCTTAGCAGAACCAAGAAACAGACTCCTTGGCCCGAAAAAAAAAAAACCCCTCTTTATTTACTTACTGTGATTTCATGGCATTCACACACAGAAAAGTCCCGGCAGTAATCCTTCCAAGGGTTAATTATAAAAAGAGACCTTTATCGGTCCTTGGATAATTGCCAGGCCGAGAGCTTCTAGTCACAAAGCTGTAAATTAATTCCTGGCAAGGAGTCTCTGAGGCACGAACCACATGAGCAAATTTGCATAATAATAAGCGAACTATTGTCTCCTGCAATCACCACTCCCCTTTTGCTTCTATTTATTCCCCAGGGAGGGGCCATTCAGGGACCCCGTGTACCCTTCCTCCCGAGTCACCCCTATTCCTCAGTTCTCTGCTGACAGCTCTGCGCTTACGCGCATCTGAAACAGGCTCCAGCTGTTCTTCCCCACTTATTTCCGATGCCATAGGCAGGCAGCTGATAACTGTCAGATGACCCTGCCATATCTCTGCTTCCAACACAGAGCATCCATCAGAGCCTTCCCCAGACTCCAGGACTGGCCCTACTTCCTCCCCAACCTCCTCATTGTCCGAGTTTGCGGCCGGCTGGCAGCCCACAATAGTGGGCGACCCCTTTCATGAGCATCATGATTTATGAATGTGATGGGGAAGGATCCATGACGGTCCTAACTCGAGGTTTAACTACTTGGGGGGGCCAATTGCAGCTTTTGGTGATCATTATGTCACTTGATTGGGAGAGGAATATAAGCAGGAGATCAAACAACTTTCCTTGGAAGAAACTCCATTCTAGATTTTGCGAAGATATTTGAACAGGACTAGGAAAACGATTTAACAGCCTTCTCGTAGATTTTTTTTCAAATTCCCAGCCAGGATCCAGGAACCTTGGGGCTGTGGCTGGAAATCCAAAAAAAAAAAAATTACGAGAAGGATGTTGTTAAACTTTTTCCTAGTCTTGCACCAATGTCTTCATAAAATCTACCGTTTCCCTGAAAATAAGACCTAGCTGGAAAATAATAGCTTGTTTTTTCAGGATGTTTGTAATATAAGCCCTATCCCGAAAATAAGCCCCAGTTAAGATTGACAACCAGATGGATGCATTTAGAACTGTATTTCCCCCAAAATAAGACCTAACCAGAAAATAAGACCTAATGCATCTTTTGAAGCAAAAAGTAATATAAGACCCAGTCTTATTTTGGGGGAAACACTGTAGAATGGAGCTTATTCCAAGGAAAGTTTACTAAATATTGAAAAACTATTTAATACTTTCTTAACAAATATTTAAACGTTTACCTAGAAGTCCCAAATGACTAGGACTTATACGCTGAAAGGTAAGTGGCAACTTTCAAAATACCGTATGTTGCATTTTTATTCAGACTGCAATCCTTTGGATTACCTAGAATGTTTTTACATAATATTCTATTTTTAAAAAAAATTACATAATGTTTAATATGCCTGTCTTTTTTACATTTTCCCCTGCAGGGTGTTCAACATTTTGGAGATTACCAAAGAGGTTTTTTTTAATATATATATATTTCTTCTTTTGAGTCGTTAAGCTTGCTGAAATCCTTATACTAAACAAGATAGGTAATTCTCCAGGTTATATGAGAAAGATAAAGATTGCTCTTCTGCTTGAAGGATAAAGTGGGTTGGGGGGGAGAGTTGTAGATTCCTAAAATTGTAAAGTATAAGCTTTGATTTTAATTGGAGCCTTCCTAAGCTGGAATGTGGTGAGATAAACCCTGGATCGATTCTCTCCAATGTGGCTTTTCCTGATATTTCGAAGGCACCTCCTGAACCACAGTCAATATTAATGAAACTGTAGGAATACTATAGTTATTTTCCTTCTTGTTGGGGCCAGTCAGCTGTCTCTCTGAATGCATCCACCGTGCCTCTTTGCAACGCTGAATGTGGAACGAGGGCAAGATTCCTTTTACAGAGGGGTCCTCAACTTACAACCGGTTGCTTAGCTACACCGTTTAAAGTTACAACCTTCCTCCACCCCCGTGCAATCACCCTAGCCTGGTGCTTTGCAGCTCGGCCCTATTGATGGCCATGGCGGTCACCTAATCACATTTTACGACTTTTTTGGTTTTTTCTTTGAAACTGAAAACGTGACCCTTCCGGCTTTCAACAAAACCGCTCCCACGGCGAAGAGTTGGTTCACTTAACAGCCTCAAAACAAGGTGGTAAAAATCAGGTTGGACGTGCAACGGATCCATTTTGCAACTATCCCCGGCAGGCTGCCTTTCAGTCATAACTCAAGGACAGCCCACCTCTTCTAATTTTGTGGGCTGAGCCAACGATTCGAACTTTTGCAATCTCCCGGTCCTTTATCCTAAAATAACCTATTCCAAATGTTATTCTACCCAGCACAGTATAGTTAAAAAAAACCCAAATAATCTCAT